GAAGTTACAAAATGGGAAACCAGCTGCATGCCTAGGAGGAAAAGAAGCCAGTCAGACTGCCAGTGTACTCTGTGCAGTGCCTGGAAGAGAGTTCACAAGTCCCTTGGCCTTTCAGGGACTGTTTGTGCCTGTAGTCTGGATGATGGCAATGAGAACTTAGATAAAGTACTCTTTCAGGAAAATGTTATGAAAATCTTCTGAATAGATACTATTATTCCCCACCCCACCCCCAACAGCTGAGGCCCAGATAGTTCTAGAGTCAGAATTTGACCTAGGCAGTCTTCACACAGGTCCTGTGCCTTAATGTAGTAAAGGTCCTGCACCAGCATACTTCTCCCGAGCGCTGTCTGAAATCTTTCTTCTGCTGGTAGTTTTTTTTTAGCACAGGTCTTTGTGCTGAAATAATTTCTTTCATATGGCTTTCCACTTGTCATTCCATCCTTCCCGAGGATGTCCTTTCCCCTTTACTCACTTTCAGAAAATTTTCTGTTTTAGAAAAATTGCTCATAAGAGATACCAATAAGAGAGGGAGACATTATAGGTTTAAAGAGAAATCAGACACAAGGGAAATGTACAGAGAGCTACAAGGATGACACCAACTAACAATCCAAGCAACAGAGGAGAGGCTACCTTAAATGCCCTCCCCTGATAATGAGATTGATGACCGACTTATATGCCATCCTATAGCCTTCATCCAGCAGCTGGTGGAAGTAGAAGAAGACATCCAAAACTAATCACTGAATTGAACTGGAATCCAGATGCAGAGAAGGAGGAGTGATGAGCAAAGGGGTCAAGGCTGGATAAGGCTGGAGAAGCCCACAGAAACAGCTGCCCTGAACAAAGGAGAGCTCTTGGTCCCCAGACTGATAGCTGGGAAACCATCATGGACGTGGGTGTCAGTTAGGAGAACTTGGAAATCTATGGGGCATCTTGTAGTGGATCATTACTTATCCCTAGCATAGGAATGGACTTTGTGCGCCCATCCCACATAGAGGGATACTCCCTCAGCCTAGACACAAGGGGGTTGGCCTATGCTCTATCCCAAAGGATATGACACACTCTGAAGATCTCCCCATGGAAGGCCTCACCCTCCCTGGGGAGCAGAAATGGTATGGGATAGGTAGGGTCTTAGTGGGAGGCAAGGGAGGATGGGAATGAGAGGGAACTGGGATTGACATGTAAAACAATCTTGTTTCTAATTTAAATAAAAAAATGGTAAAAAAAATTGCTCTGTGTGTGTAGACAATAATATAACAAACCCCCTATACACCTATACTGCCATCACTTATCTGAAACAGCAACACACACCAGCCTAATTATGTTTATTATATTTTTAGAATATATGTTATTGAAAAGATAGATTTTTTTGTAAAAAAAGTGAATTATGTATTTTTATAGAGTTTTCATAGGTACTGGAAAAATACAATGGATTGCCACTCAGTTGAGCAGCAGTCACATTTTAGGGATCTTGTTTCATCTTGCATGATATTTTTAGTAATGGTGGGGAGCTGGTAGCATAGACAGTGCTCAGTAGTTACAGGTGTGTATTTAATATATATTTTTAATTGAAAAGTCAATTAAAAGTCAGCTATAATTCTGATCATGGTTTCTCTTCCCAGATCTTCTCCACTTCCCCACCCATCTAACTCCAGGTTTTCCTTCTCTCTTTCCTTAGAGCAGCCTTATTTCATTTATACTCTTGACTTCTTCTGTTACTTTGAACCCAGTTTCAGGCACAATATTATTTCATTTATAACTATCCGGGGATATAATCTTTAAAAAGGAAGGACTTTAAAAATCCTAGTTCCAACTTCATGCATAAGGATTTAACATTTAAAAAGAATATGTGAGGCTGAAGAGATGGCTCAGCATTTAGAGCACTAGCTGCTTTTGCAGAGGACAGGTTCAGTTCCTAGCACTTACATTGTGCTCACAAACCCCTGTAGCTTCCGTTCTAGGGGACCCAACACCCTTTTCTGGCCTTGATGGGAACAAAACACATGCACTCAAGCAGATGCTCATACACATAAAATAAAAATAAATCTTTAAAAGCAAAACAAAGTGTTTGTATGTGTGCCTGCTTGTCTCTGTGTATACCATGTGTGCAGTTCCCACAGAGACCAGAAGAGGAACTAGAATTACAGGTAGTTGTGAGTTATCTGATAAGATTCTGGGAATCAAACCCAGATCCTCTGCAAGTTAAATTTGATAGAATACTTGCCCCCTCCCCCCCCAGTCAGGGTTTCTCTGTGTAACAGCCCTGGCTGTCCTGGAACTCAGTTGTGAACTGCCATGTGGTTATTGGAAATTGAACCTTGGTCCTCTGGAAGAGCAGACAGTGCTCTTAACTGCTGAGTCATCTCTAGCTTCGTTTATGACTTTTAATAGTAATTATAGCAATTTCTGTTCTTATATGCTAGAGGCATGAAGCCCTGGTATGTTGTTATACTTTTGCTGTGAAGAGACACAATGACCAAGGCAACTCTTACATTTTAAGAGGTTTAGTACATTATTATCATGGTAGGCAGCATGGTGGTATGCATGGTGCTGGAGTAGTAGCTGTAGAGAGACTGGGCTTTTAAAATTTCAAAGCTCCCCCATCCCTTCTGACAAGGCCAAACCTCTTAATCCTTCTAATCCTTTCAAAGAGTTTCACTCTGTGGTGACTAATCATTCAATGGGGGTTATTCTTTAAACCACTACATTTGGCATCACGGATTCCATTTCAAAGGGAAAATTACCTCTTTACTTACCATGAAAATTGCAGAAGCTATATAATTTCAAGAACATATTTTCCATCTAAAATGGTTATTTGTAGGTTTCGTAAGTCATTGGGGAGGGAAAGGATCTTCTGGAGATGAATAGAGTGGAAGATGGGAAGCAAGACATTATTTGTTAAACTTGGGACTTGGGTACTTATGGGCTGTGCTGTGTTGATAATTTTATGGATTTTTTCACATTTTATTTAGAGTGTTTGTGTTGGTACATGGGTATCACTGAACATGTGTAGAGGTCAGGTGGTTCTTTCCTTCTACCATGTTGGCAACTGAAGTTCAGGTCATCTTGTTTGGTGGTTATGACAATAAACCACCGAGCCACTTTTTGCCTGATCTTTTATGGATTTTTGACCATCAAAAAATGCAGAATTGGTAAGATAGTTTGGAAGAGAGGCAGATATAGACACTCCATGCAAGAGAAGCCAGGTAGTGAGACATTTCTGTGGGAGATAACTGCATGGAAAGAACTGGCAAAATGTAATTTACTACTATAAAGAGTTCAAAAGGACCAATCAAATGTCATTTAAAGTTTTTAGCTTCAAATGCCAGGAGTTCATTTCTTTAACCAAATTTTAAGATTCATGGGATGTCTAGTCCTATTTAGCAATTTTTAGAAAACAATAGAACTTTTTATTTCTTGATATTAAGAAAATTTGCTTGTATGTGTATGGGTCTGTGTCTATATGCCACTTGTGATTAGGTGCCCACAGAGGTCCAGAGAGTGCATCTGGTTGTCTGGAGCACGAGTTAACAGATGATGGTTTTGAGATGCCTGATAATGGGTTCTGGGAACTGAACTCAGGTCAGTTTTGAGATGCCTGATAATGGGTGCTGGTACCTTGAACTCAGGTCCTAGTAGAACAAAAAGCACTCTTAACTGCTAAGCCATCTCTCTAGTTCATGTATCTTTAAATATTTCATGGAAAAAGTAAAACTCTTATATTTATCAGTACTTGCTGTAGACAGAGAAGAAAATAGAACCTGATTTCTTGGCAGGGGCACTTTCGGAATTGTAGGGTGTTTAGCAGTATCACATGGACTCTACTGGCTAGTCATATTGAAACAACAAATATTTCAGGTATTTCTTGGGGGACAATCACTTACCCTATTGAGAACCACCATTGTATAAGGGCCACTAAATATGCCTAGAAGAAGAGTGCTCTGCATGTAATCAATTATTTTTTAATATAAATGAACTGTCAGCTTTTGACTGTGAATTAAAAACAGTTAATGAACAAGATGTCCATTGAGCAGCTCTTTCATATTTCACTTTAATTAATTAATTTTTCTGTTGGTGATTGAACCCAAGGACTAGATTAGATAAGTTCTCCACCACTAAGCTATATAGCTTGTTCTCATCTTTTATTCTGATAATTGAGATTGGGTCACATTTGTAGCCCTGGCTGGATTGGAATTTGCTATATAGACCAGGCTGACCTCAAACTCTTAGAGATCCAACTGAGGATTGGGATTAAAGGTTTGAACTACCAGGTTTGGACACTTACATAAGCTCTTTGTTGTTTGTTTTCCTATTAAATTTACTAATCTTTTATTGCAGCTGGTTTATTTCTGTGTTTCTCAGTGTGTACATGCACATGCATGAATCTGGGAGCACTTGTAGCAGACAGGCAACTTGAAGGGTTAGCTGACTCCTTTCCCCATGTGGATCCTAACTTGGTATCAGGGTTGGAGACAAGTACCTTTATCCACTGAGTTATCTTCTGCCCCAATTACCCAAGCTTTTAAGTAAATTTAAATACAAGCTTTTTAAAGTCTGAACTTTGTAAAGAACTTACTAGGAATTTAAAAGCCACTAACGGATACAGAACAAGTCTTGGAAAGGTCAGAGAACAAAATCCTGAATTAGCCCTTCCAAACTTAAGATATTTATTAACTTGGTTCATCCTCAAATTTTAAAGGAGAAAATATTTTATATTTCTTGGTGCACTATTATGCTGGAGAAAGCTTAATTTTATTTGTTATGCTTTCCAAGTGTGCTTTATAGCTAAGTGTTTAAATCTAAGCCTTAAATTCAACATTTAAAATTCAGCGCATCTGGGGTGTGATACTGCATGCTATACATCTCAGTAGTTGGAAGGATGAGTCAGGAAGATCAGGAGACCAAGGCCACCCTGGGCTTATATCTGAGACTGTCTCAAAAGAGAACCAAGTAAAATTTTAGTATTTAACTTTATGTGATTATTGTTATTATTGTTATTTTTTTTTTTTTTTTTTTTTTGCTGTAGGCCTCGAAATAGAGGAAAATCTACAGTGGAAGATGAGGACAGCATGGATGGGCTGGAGACGACAGAAACAGAAAATATTGTGGAAACAGGTATTGGATCTTAATGAGAATTTTGACAAAAACACATAATAATTTATACTTATATACTACCCTTACCATTTGTATAGAAATGTACTATGCTATCAAACTCTTAAGTCTTCTATCTATTTTGATGTCTAGTGATAGAGTGAAAAGCAGGTCTCTTTCTCAGTCAGTCTTTCCCTTGAGTCCTTATTTAGTTCGAATCATTTTGTATACATAATGTCTTTTATGAAAGCAAAATTGCAACTTTCTGAAAGAAACTCATTTTAGTATGATAGGTCATAGTCTATTTCTGACTTGCCTGGTGCCCTGGAATTGGAGTGACAGTTGGTTGTGAGCTTCCCTGTGGGTGCTGGGGATTGGTCCCTGGTTGGCTGAAGAGTGAGTGCCAGTGTTCTTAACTTCTGAGCCATCTTTCCAGCTCATAACTGAGCTAATTTACATTCTTACATACCATCAGTGTTTGAGGGCAGTCCTTTATCTTACCAGCATTCATTTTTGTCTTTATCATTGTTATTTCTAATAACCACTTGGAGGAGGATAAGATGACATATTGTGGTTTTAGTTTTCATTTCTGTGATATTTTCTAGGATGCCCTTTGTATCTTATACCTGACTTAAGCTCCTTACATATGCTAGAAGTTTATCACTTGTTAGTGAATAATTTTTATGTCACTTCCCATTCTTCAGGTTGTTCATTCTGTTGATTGTTTCCTTTTGGATCTTATATGGAAGGCTTTGACCCAACTGTACATATTTAGAATTAGGAGCCTTTTAAAATTTTGTTTCTTCTGCATTGTATACCCACTTCCTTTCCTTTTTCTTTTTTCTGGTGTGTGTGTGTGTGTTGTACCTCATTCTGGCCTAGAACTTAAGGGTTTCTTTGTGGCTTTGTAGGCTGTCCTGGAACTAGCTCTTGTAGACCAGGGTAGTCTCAAACTCACAGAGATCTGCCTGCTTCTGCCTCCCCAGTGCTGGGATTAAAGGTGTGCGCAACCAACGCCTGGCGTGTTGTATATTTTAAAGTCAGGTATTATAGCTCTTATATCTATCTATCTATCTATCTATCTATCTATCTATCTATCTATCTATCTATCTATCGCCTGGCGTGTTGTATATTTTAAAGTCAGGTATTATAGCTCTTCTATATATCTCTATATCTATCTAACCAGGCTGGGGTCAAACTCAGAGATGTACCTCTCTCTGCTTTAGCTTAATTGTGTGTACCACCATGCCTGGCCTTTCCTTATGTATTTTGTGATCAGCTTTTCTAGTTCCCTGAAGAATATCATTGGTGGGTTTCTATTTGTTTTGGTATTTTCGAGACAGGGTTTCTCTATATTGCTTTGGAGCTTGTTCTGGAACTCCCTCTGTAGGCCAGGCTGGCTTTGAACTCACAGAGATTTGCCTGCTTGTACCTCCCAAGTGCTGAGATTGTTTGTTTTTTTGAGAGAGGGTTGCTATGTGTAGCTTTGGAGCTGGGATTAAAGGCCTGGACGACTACTGCCTGCCTAATATCATTGGTATTTTGATTGATAATTGCACTGAATGTGTAAATCATTTAAGCTATGTAGACATTTTTAATTGGAAGTATAATATATTCTAATTATGGCCTTCTATAGGGGGTTATTAGAGTCTATCATATCCTCTGGGATAGGGCCTAGGCCCACCTCCATGGGAGTATCTTGGCTCAGGGAGTATCCCACTATGTGGAATGGGCTCCCAAAGTCTACACCTATGCTAGGAATAAGTACTGAACTACTACAGGAGGTCCTGTAGATTTTCGAGGTCTCCTCACTGAAAGCCATGTTCCTGGGGTATGGATCAGTCTCATGCTGGTATCCCAGCTATCAATCTGGGGACCAAGAGCTAACCATTGTTCAGGTCAGCTGTTTCTGTGGGTTTCAACACCATGGTCTGGACCTCTTTGCTCATCACTCATCCTTCTGTGCAACTGGATTCCAGTTCAATTCAGTGATTAGTTGTGGGTGTCTGCTTCTACTTTCACCAGCTGCTGGATGAAGGCTGTAGGATGGCATATAAGCTGGTCATCAATCTCATTATCAGGGGAGGGCATTTAAGGTAGCCTCTCCTCTGTTGCTTAGATTGTTAGCTGATGTCATCTTTGTAGATCTCCAGGCATTTCCCTAGTGCCTGATTTCTCTGTAAACCTAATATATCTCCCTCTATAATAGTATCTCCTTTCTTGTTTTCTTCTATTCTTCCCTGACTCAACCGTTCTTCTCCCTCATGTCCTCCTCACCCCTCCTCTTCTCCCCTTCTCATTCTCCTTGCTCCCTCCCCACTCTTCCCATGCTCCCAATTTGCTCAGGAGATCTTAACCCTTTCCCCTTCTCCAGGGACCTTGTATGTCTCTCTTAGGGTCCTCCTTGTTTATTAGCTTCTTTGGCAGTGTGGATTGTAGGCATGTAATCCTTTACTCCATCTCTAAAATTCACATATGAGTGAGTACATTCCATGTTTGTCTTTTTTGTGATTGGGTTACCTCGCTCAGAATGGTTTCTTGTATTTTCATCCATTTTACTGCAAATTTCAATATTCCACCCCCCCTCCCCCGAGTGCTAGGTTGCTTGCAGTTTCTGGCTATTACAAATAGTGCTGCTATGAACA